ACCGACGCTACAAGGGACAAAAAGCATAAGTCACGACAAAATCTAACTAAAACAGGAAAAACAGAGGAACTGACAACTCACCTTAGCGCCGTCGGGTGGCAGATGCATTTGGGGGGTGAACCCCCCGACCTTTGCTCCGTCTCATCGAAATGAGGCTGTTTCGAGCCCGCCCCCTTCTCCTGGGTAGAGGGGCTCGCTCCCCTTGGCTCTTGGGGCGTGATGGCAAAGCCACCCGCCTCCGCTAGCACCTCGGGCGCGGTGGTAGAGCCGTCCGCCCCTGTTGGCTCCTAGGGTAGGCCGACGGTACGGCCTATCTCTGTCGGCTCCCTAGATGTACCCTCCCCTCCGTGGAATAGGAAGAGTCCTGACGCCTGCAAGGATGAACCGATACCTATTAGCGCATCCTCGTTCTCCAGGTCATCCCACTCAATGTCATTGGCTACCTCGTCATTGGCGTCGTCGTCATCATCATCATCACTATCAGTGTCCTCCCCTCGTTCCCGCGCCTACAACTTCCATTGTTTCTTCCTCTTCCTATCCTCCTTCGCCTTCCTCAGTCGCTCACCCTCAGTGCGATTCGCCATCCTCACGGCCGAAACCCTTGGCAACGGCCCCGGGTGATCCATGAGGATGAGATCCCTCGGCTGGCCCGCCCCTTTCAAAGTTAGTATCTAGGGGTTAGGAAATCAATTGAAGAGAAGGCAAGAGAAGGGGAAGCTTACGAAGACGACGTGGCCTGGTTCCGGCCACATCGGAGGATGTCTTGGCACCGGGAAGACGAAATCGAGGGGGACACCCGCATCGTCCCGACGAGGGCTCCATTGCCTCCTTGATGCGTTGCGCAATCTCGGAGTTGGGGTGCACCCCTCACCGAGAGCCGTTCTGTCGAACGATGCCTCGAGCGCCATTGTGTATAGCGGGAGCGCACGCGTCATCAACGGCACCACCCTTCTTGCGTGGTAGGCCCCAATGGCGCCTAACCCCTTCAGGCCGTTCTCCTTTAGGATGTGGATGGCGGCGATGTGGTCTCGGATCTTCTTGTTGTCCTTCTCCAGGACGCCCCACTTCCTCCATGACTCTAGGACCTCTTCGATCAGGCGCCCGGTGAACTCCAGTAGAGGGGCAGCGGCGTCGTTCTTGAGGTAGAACCACTACGAGTGCCACCCCTTGTTAGACGTCGAGAGCCGCATGGGCGGGTACTCACCGACCCGATTATTCCAGAGCTGGATGCCAGCGCACCCCATCAGCATATGCAGCTCCTGCCTATCGCTCTTCTCCCTCTTCTTCTGAAGGGTGACAGCGAAGAAGTACCTCCATAGATCAAAGTGGGGGCTGATCCCCAGGAACCCCTCGCACAGGGCGACGAACGCCGCCATGTGTTGGATCCCGTTAGGGTTGAGATGCTGCAGCTCGATCTTGTAATAGTGCAGCAGCCCCCAAAGAAATTTGTGGGCGGGGGTCGTGAACCCATGCTCATAGAAGTGGGCGAACGACACCACATAGCCATCGGGCGGCGACGGCAGATCCTCATCACCGGGCAGCAGCCACTCATCGACCGAGGTCCGCGCGCGAAGAAGACCGCGATAGATGAGGCCTTCCATGCGCTGGAAGGTGATGTCGGAGCGGCACCACGGATCCATTGGAGGTGGGGGCGGATGGATATGGGCTCGATGGTGATGGCGATGCGGAGGCAGGAAACCTAAGCGATTAGCGGCGATGGTCGTGGCTGCGGAGGCAAGGATGCAAGGTATGGAACCCGGGGGGCAAACCCTTTGGTTTTATTGGGGTGACAGGTGCGAGGAAACCAACCACCCGCCTAGATCTCCGCTTCTACCATGATCTACCACCATGTCTCGCCGCGGGACACGCGCACGCAATCTATGTCCATTCCCTCAGAAAACTCGTCAGGCGTTTCGCCTCTTCGGACGGGCCACGACCCATCACAAGTAAGGGATACAGAGCTAAAAACTCTACTACGGCCCGTCTAGGCCCAGGAGTTCGAAGGTTGGCCCACCAACAGGTTCGACAACCACTCTGGGCACCTTTTTGAAGTGAGGGGTAGAAAGGGATGGCCCCGCTAGTGGCCGGTACCCAGGCGCACGAGCGCCGCAGGCATCCCGGCCCACGTTCGAGTCTCGGCCGGATACGATCCATGGTTTTTTTTCTCGAAAGAAAGGCAGATGGCCCTTGGGACCGGTCGAACGGACCCGAGAACTATATGAATTGACTGCCGAGGGTCTAGAGTCGGTCACCAGTTGACCCAAGCCGGATCCCCACGAACGGGATCCCGAGGCCCCACTCGAACTAGCCAGCTGATAACTCACCGAGCACAATGGCTCGTCCATAGAGGAAAATCATAGCATGGCTCAGCCCCTCCGGTTGAGGAAACCGTGGATGGGGTGACGATCACAAAGATGAGTCGACCCTCGACCGGACCCTAGCTATGCGTGGGGACTCAAGGAAAGTTGGGCTCGCAAGGAGACCGAACGCACAGTCGCGGAACGACAAACCCCCGAAGGGGTTGAAATCAGGGAAGGACCTTTTTCGACCCACCAAACCTCATGGCTATACCCCCGAGGGGTCCGATCTTGACAAAAGGGAATCACCATCCCTAGGTCAAGGCCATAAAAGAAGGCCAAGGCCATCAGAGTCCTCCCGCTCGAAAAAACCTCCGAAGGAGTTTTCTACTCCTCCGCAGGCTCGGGGGCTACTGTCGTGGACCAATACTAGGGTACCCAAAGAGAAGGAGCTAATGACCATCAACATTGACTTATCCGAACAGTCAAGAGCGCGACTACAACTCCAATCGACCCCTCGACGCGCAAGCTCCGCTTCGCCCAGCCTCTGGGAGAGGGACCGCCTTGCCCGACCCTGAGGCCGTAGGCTCGCCTCGCTAGACGGAGACCCATACCGCCGCCAACCACTCTAGGTCCAAGCGTATGGGCCTAAGTCAAAGCTCTAGCACTAGGAAAGAGACTGGCACACCCCGATGTAACCCGTGGCCTTGATGGGCTATACTGGAGGATTCACATCAAGAACAGCGTCGGACGTACCGGTGCTGTTCTGCCTAACCCCCGTACGAACACTAACGAGTGCGTTGGTTCACCACGACGTTCGCCAGGACGGAGTGGAGCGCCATGACCGGCATATGACGCCTGCGCATGGCGCTAGTGACGGACAGGACCACGATGTGAAGCCATCCCTGTTGACATCTATAGGGTCGACGGGACCTGCATGAAGGAGAAGGACCCAGTGATTCTGAAGGCCTTCGGCTCTCTCTCTCTCGTTCTTCTTTTTCCTCCGCTGTAACCCATGCTTTCCCTTGGCCTATAAAAGAGAAAGCAGGGCGTCATATAAGGGGCATCGAAACACATCACATCGATTCAGGCTAGATCTGATCGAACCATCATGAACCCATCGAACACTGAACACACGGCTGAGTAGCAACCGAGCTCTCTCAGCACCCGTTCACTCCTTTCACCAGAGACTTGGGACTTGTCCCTCTCTCGCCCGTTTGTAACCCCTACTATGAACTTTCAGTGCTAGTAACACGAGCAGCAGCAACGAACTGGACGTAGGGACATTCTGTCCGAACGAGTATAAACCTCGTGTCCTCTAAGCACACCATCTGAGCCAGACGCGCAATATTAGAAATTTATTTGTCGGTGGCAACTCGAAACACCGACAACTGGCTAAAAGCCTGTGCTTCGGATGTGCGGCAGACGAATGAGTTTTTTGCCCCCCTGGTCGCTGCGGCCGAAGCCACAAACAAAGAATGAGTCTCTTGGGACTCGAACTCTGACCACCCTAGGGGAGGTACTAAGCCTGCACTGACCACTCGGTCAGCCAGGCCGTTCCCATTAACACGTCCCATTAGCGACACATTATTTCTTCCTTATCCTCCTTCCGCAGGTGCCCCGTCACTAGCAGCCTCCACCGCCACCTTGGCCACCACCGCCGCCCTCGCCAACGTCCTCATCATCCATCTCACATCACTACTGCTGCAACCTTTCCCTAACATCTTGTTTTTTCTTCTCTTCCCCTTTTTCTCATCATGCTACCCGTCGCCAATGACCTCACCAGCACCAGCACCATAGCTATGTCCTTCCATAATGCTATGCTCAGTCGCCTCTGCTGCCTACCATGTCCATTGGATGTCAAACACTGCTCGCTCGATGATGTCCCGGCCACCTCAATTGCCACCCATTGAACTACCACCATCGCTGGCAACTTGCCCTAGCCATCCTTCTAAAGCCGTCGATATTGGAGGCCCGAAGCCTCATATTTCTAACCCTAATCCCTCTTGCCACTGCCGACCTCGACCATTGCCCGGCGCCCGCGTGGTGAAGTTCCACTCCCTTATCCCCGAACAAGAGGAAGAAGCGGTTGGCGGCTTAGCGTCTGTTTGTTAGGGTTACTCCTCAGCACTAGCTTTAGCTTATTTAGAGCAGTCTTACCAAACGTTTTGTTGGCTTCTTCAAAACGGATTCGGCTCTTCGGAGGAGCCCCTCGGGAGAAGCCTCGCCAAACACCCTAATCAAGTCGCACATTGACACGTGTCCTTGCGCTCCTTGCGGTCGCTAAGCACGCGCGTCATAAAAAGATTGTGGCAATATTCTCTCTACACTATGATGTGCCCCCGTAGCCAGCGACTCCCGGCTCTTGCAGTTGCAGCGAAAAAACAAACGAGATCACAGACGATCGACGACCACCAGACACCAGACGACCCACACTTCCACACCAGGAGAAACAGGGTCCCACGGCTTTGGAGAGTGCGCCCACGGCTTTGGAGAGTGCACACGGCGCACGCGCGCGCGCGCGCACCGCAGACAAAGACCCGAACGCGCAGCGCGGGCAGACCGCACACGCTCGTAGTCGTGGACTCGTAGCCGCGGCCGCAGCAGCTGTTGCGCCTTGCGCGTATCGACCACCTCCCTCCTGCGCCTCGGGGATCGAGCTCCCTCCCGCTCCCGCTGGGAGGGACGGAGCGCCAGAAGGCGATGCCCTTTTGGTGGCCGAGGAGGAGGTCCAGGCCGAGCTCCAAGCGCAAGGACGGGCCCGTGCCGGCGTCCGCCTCGGCCTCCTGCTCGCCTCGCCACTCCGTCGACGTCGTTCCACCAACCGCGTACGCGTCCGCCAGCGCGTCGCCGTCGGTCCAGTGGGAGCGGGCGTGGACGCGCAGCCTCGGCTCCCCGGCGCCGGCGCCGGCGCCGCGGGGCGCGGATAGGGCCGCTGCCGCCACGCTATGCGGCGGCGGCGGGTCAGGACCTGGGGGAGCGGCGGCTGGGCGTGGGCAGGGTTTACCGCTCCCGCGCCCTGCTGTGTACAAATCGGCGCGCGGTGGCTCGCCGGTTTCGAGCGAGAGCTCGTCGGAGTCAGACGAGGTGGTGGACAACACAAATTACAGGTACAAAAATGCTGCATTTACGCGGGATACGTGCTGCTTCGCAGTTTCCTTCATCGCCGTAATCTGTACGATGTACCTTCAGCGTGCGTGAGTACAGCGAAAATGATGCGATTAGTCTATGTCCAATGTCGTTGCATGACTACACAAATGGAGCTCTGTGGTGATGTGGGTGTGTGCAAATGTCAGTAATTTAGTGGTTTCCGGTTGAGCGCCATGACTAAGGAGGAGTGAGGGAGGTTTAGCACCAATTTCGCCCGTTGACCCCCTCAGCGCTTGTCATCTGCCGACTGCCGTGCACACGGGGAGTCAAAGGTCAATGGTTTGTCATCATGTGAGAAATTGCAACCAGGCGTGTTTCACTTGGACAAGTCTTTGCTTATCCTTCCAGAAGTTGGTGTGCATGCTCATCAAGTCATCAATCTTAGTCCTGTGACAAACCTAGTAGCTTACTATGTTATATTGCCATTTGAATCATTAGTTTTGCTGTTATCTTAGTTTCTATAATTCCCTGTAAAGCCAATCTTTTGAACTACTAGGGTTTTTAGTGATCCTTTTTTGGATTATTTACATGTGGTATTCAAGCATTTATTACCATTAATTTTAAGTACCACCAAAACCAGCTGACAAAGGCCTAATGAAGACTGGATAGTTCTTGGTGCAGGATAAATACACTTTTTGCATATACAGCAATGATCACTTGGTATAAGACCATGGGTTATCTGGCCTATTAAACACAAGAGTCAATTAGTTCGAGTTCTTACCTCAGTTAGTTTTGATTTCATAGAATTCCTCAAAGGTTCTAATAATCCAAAATCTCCCACCCACACTCCGGATTTTTCTATCTTGAATTTCCACACTTTTTCCTATTTCTTTGCCCTTGTCAGAGTTGCATGTTTATTATTTTCGCCTGTACCTGTTTTGTGCCTCTGACTATCTGTGATTGTCAGTCCTGTTATGTTTTGTGACATTTTCTATTCCTTGGTGCAACACTGCAACCTTTAGGTATGTGGATCCATTTGTCTATCCTGGAGCAAGAACTATGCCACCTGATGCACATAAGCGCACGACAGAAGAAAAACACCTTGTTTCATGTAGTGCTCCGCCTCCGCGTGAGCACCATAAGTTTTTTGAGGTGCCTGTCACCAATGCCAGAGAAGTTCATTTGCAAAGCTATGAAGCTGCAACTACTGGGACTACTTCGCGTGGTAGAGTGTTTCATAAAAATACTCGTGCAAGAACGAGGAGTCTTTCCCCAGGACCAAGAGGGCATGATTTTGCTTCCAGTTTTGCAGCTCCAGGAGACCTTGGGGTTAGTTCAAGGTCAATGGTTAAAATGATGGATGATCTGAAGAGTCAGTCTCAACCCTTTTTTGCGAGCAGTCTGTCTCAACCCTTGCCTCGTCCTCCGGCTCGTATTGCTAGCTGTCCCATTCCTTCATCTCCCATTGCTTCTGCCCAATCCCAATCACAGTGGAAAAAGGGGAAGCCGTTAGGTAGCGGCACATTTGGTCAGGTTTACCTTGGATTCAACAGGTATGAATGCCCTTATGTATCATCATTTTAATAAAATTTGAAGTTCCATTCAGGTCCTTCGTTACACGGTATATTTGTTTTGGTTCCTGAAGATATAAATATAATGGAAAGACAAACTCATTTTTATAAACTTTTGTATCGAAGTGGATGTTTTAATTGTTGAAGTTTATGTGTAGATTCCAACTCTGCAAAACACAGCTTCTAATAAACGCGCTCTTTTTGTCAATGTTGGCACACCAATTCGTTACTAGGTGTAATCTGATATGCAAGATCGATTTAGACTGTCTGGAGTCATTTGGATTGCCATGTCAAATTCAGTGAGCTAAAGGAGTCAGGAAATGAGAACTATCAGATACATGTTATGCTTATTGTTTTCTTTGACTAAAAAATGATATATCTTTCATTTTGTTGCATGACACTAAATGAAATTTGAGAACCATTTCTAACTTCTACACTCTTGGCTCTTCTATCATTAGAATGTTGTGTTTGATCTTAACCATGTCTTATATAGTGAAAGCGGGAAGTTTTGCGCAATAAAGGAGGTGCAAGTTATTTTGGATGATTCAAAGTCAAAAGAACGCCTCAGACAATTGAAGCAGGTCATTTTATGCCCCAATTTCATTGATAAGTCTTCTATAGATCAAAGGCAATTGTATTGATGTAAATACCTGTAGCATGTGCCTTTCTGAGATGTAGATCCTGAATCATGTTGATTCTTTTTATTAACTTGTACAATTCTTGTACCACAGGAAGTAGATATGCTTAGACAACTCTCACACCAAAACATTGTGCAATACTATGGAAGTGAACTGGTGAGTTCCATGTTGCAACTGATAACTATACCATTTGAGTGCCCTGCGACCACAAAAGTTTTGTTATGCAATATTGCTTATGTAGTGTGTCAAGCCACTACTGTTGCTTATTCCCTTCTCATTTGCCTTTTTTCTTTGAACTTCTTTCTAACTGTTGCCCATTAAGTCATTTCATGCCAAGAAAAAAATTTGTTGCCTTTGGTATCAAACGAATGTACATAAACTTTCTACATGAAGTGCTGGTTATGCTTAGACTTTCCTAATACTATATGATTTTGGGCAGACTGATGAGGCACTGTCCATCTATCTTGAGTATGTTTCTGGAGGTTCAATCCACAACTTGCTTACAGACTATGGTCCTTTTAAGGAACCTGTGATTCGTAACTATACTCAGCAGATTCTTTCTGGACTTGCCTACTTGCATGGTAGGAAAACTGTGCACAGGTACTGTGAGTGATTTCACACTATTTCTGTTTCTAAAGTTAAAGTTGAATAAAGCATTAGTATAACACTTCATAATGCTTTATTTGGCAGAGACATAAAAGGAGCAAACGTACTTGTTGGCCAAAATGGCGAAGTCAAACTTGCTGATTTTGGCATGGCTAAACATGTAATGCAGTTTCTTTCCATTTTCCAGACTTTTTTTGTATTTTTTTTTTGTGTGTGCCTGTGTTTAGGAGCATTATTGGAACCTCACTCACCCCCACACTTGCATTTAGCTAGGCTATAGTTTGTCTCCATGGAACCAACCAGGTGTCATAGTTTGTACACCTAGCTCCTCCTAGATTGAATCTCATTTTTTCTCGAACGTGCCGTGTAGCACGTATTTCATTAAGAGGAAGTAGACAACACCGAACCAAACAACAACGACTGGCCGGTAATCCTAAAATTACCAGCACAATCCCACAAACACAAACGATACAGCAAGAAAGCACCGGGGGTAGGGCCTCCACCACCAAACCCTTACAGACTGAGCCTATTACAGGAAGACAAAAACACATTGGTAGCCTAAGGTGTAGTGTAGCTGCGCTAGCCAGCATCCACCAAGGAAGCCAAGGGAGCCGGCACGACAACCGCGGCAAAGCATCCGCACAAGAAACGACCACGGCGGCCAAGCATCCGCCGGAAAAGGACCATTACGGCAAAGCATCCGTAACGAGGGCCATCACACGCTCAGTAGCTGAATGAGCGTGGAGACCGAAGCGACGAGGTGGCCAAGCATCCACCCAAGCAGCAACAGCGGCAAAGCATCCGCCAACGAACCGAACGACAGCGGCAACAACAAACACCGAAGGACAAACCAATGTGAAGATAGAGTTGAAGCACAGATAGGCAAAGTAGAGCAGGCAACAACACCGACGGTCCAGGCCACAGGACCGCCCGCCCCATGCCGCAGCGGCAGTGGAGAAGCAGCAGCACCTCTTGGCCTTCAAGAAGCAGCCTCTTGGCCTTGAGGAAGCAGCCAGGTTCCTCCAGCCACGCCACCATGGCGCCACTGGTGCCCCTGGTTGGCTATTGCCAGCCACACCACCACGGCGTCACTGGCACTCATCCAAGCAAGCCGTTGTCGGCCATGCCACCACGGCACAACCGACGCACCACTGCAGTCGGTCGGAGTGGGAAAACACCATGACAACGCCTCCAAGGAGGGAGACGACGCGCCGAAGGCGTCGCCGTCGTCTTGCCGACAGATCCGACATGGCTTTCGCCGGTGCTCGCCCACATCGAGCACAACAAAACAGGGAGTCTTGAAGGCACGCCACCCCTGCCCTCCACCGCTTGACTATACATGCATGCACAACACAGGATGGAGCGACTCCGGCGAGAGCAACGGGGGATCAGGCGGAGTGCATCAACGAAGCCATCAAGAAGGGAATGACATCCACGGACACTTTTCCCTGTGAAGGATGTTGATAGTCATATTCTGTTTTCTGCACTCCATAGCATCATAATATAACTGAAGCAAGCATGACTCTGATTGCTACCAGATGATCTTTTTGCAATATAAAAAGGCAACTAGCCAAAAGGAGATCCTTTTGAGTTTTTCCCCCCCTATCTCACATTATTTGCTTATATGAAGCAGATAACATCTTTAGCTGAAATACACTCATTGAGAGGAAGCCCATACTGGATGGCTCCTGAGGTATGCTGTTTTCTATCAATGACATTTGAAGAGTTTGTCAATGTATGGTTTCCATCTTCAAGAAAAGTTGTGTGAAGTACTTCAAATTCTTCAGGTTATAATGAATAAAAATGGGTACAGTTTTGAAGTCGATATCTGGAGCCTTGGCTGCACAATTATTGAAATGGGAACTGGGAGACATCCTTGGCATCAGTATGAAGATGTATGTCTTCACATTTTGTTACATTTTACTGAAATATTTCCATCCAACTTGGATGAGTCACTTTGCTTCTTATAGTCAAAGTAACTAGCATGTACTTCATGATTTTTTGGTGCTAATGTCCATTTTGCCTCAACATGTGGCTTTCAGGTACCTGCAATGTTTAAGATAGTTAACACTAACGATATGCCAGAAATCCCAGAGAGATTTTCTAAAGAAGGGAAAGATTTCCTTAGTTTGTGCTTAAAACGTGATCCAGCGCAGCGCCCATCTGCAACTCAGTTGCTGCGTCATCCTTTTGTTCAAGACAATCAGGTAATAAGAGGGGGCCAAATGCAATACCACTTTGAGAAACAGACTATTTTGTCCTGCAGAGGCATGTCATAAAAAAGTGACTTACGTGCTTATCCATTTTTAATAAAGATTGTACTAGTTTCTTAGAAGCTTTTCCGGTCATGTTAATGACTTAATGTTTGTTTGCAATGATCTTGATAGCCTTAAATTTGTTTGCAGTCCAACAAAGAACCTTCATTGAAGAGAAGCATTGCTCCTCTGCGGGACATTGGAGGGATAAGAGTGCGAGGTTTTATGGGACCTTCCTCAGCATGCGTTTCACCCCACAAAACTTCCAGGCACAGTAACCTGCATTTACTGACCATTCTTCTTTCCGGTTCATCCAATCACACCCAGTATTCTGACTGATAACTCTGCCATCATCCTGCAGCAGGCATATTGATGTGAGAGCAAACATGTCTCTCCCAGTGTCTCCATGCTCAAGCCCGTTACGCCAGTTGAAGCAATCGAACTGGAGCTGCCTTGCTTCCCCATCACATCTGGCATTCTCCTCGGGATCTGCAGCCCACAACCCAGTCAGTTACATGCAGAACCAGATGAGAGGAAGCGACCCAGTTCCAGATCCTTGGCGCGACATCAGCCAGAGACCACAAAGCCCATATGGCTCCCCAAAGAGATTCTGATTATGATCTGTAGAGCTGTAGGAGACTATCAGTTATCGATATTTTTCATGGCAAAGTTAGGTGATCCAGGAGATGTTTGCGTTGATAAATCCTTGGTAACTAGGAATCCTGATTGCTCATGATCTGATTTATTGTGTAGATGAAAAAGAAGTGTAGCTGATGATTGTCAACTATGTGCAGGTGTTGTAAATGGTCACTGTTATATGTATATTAAATATGACGATACTGATGATTCTTTATGTAAAATAAGTATGCCTTTCATATATAAATAAAGTAAGAGAAATATGCACATCTGAAGTTTCTTCACCTGCATGTTTATGTTGTGACTAGCTGTGAGCCATGTGACAGGACACATGGATGGACCATGTGAGCCAGTCAATTTTCAGTAGCTGGACTGGCTTTTCTTTTGAGAGGGTAACTAGATGTATGTGGCTATTCAGACTTTCAGATGGCAGCGTTTAACTCAACCTAGATCGCTAAGAAGTAAAGTACTCTAAACGCCTAGACACACTAGAGTTGCAGGTTTGGTGTGATACATTGCGTATTGACCCTGTCAGTTTTTTTTCTTCGAGCGTGCCATTAACACGTATTTCATTAACAGGGAATAGAAAACCTTACAACAGTCAGGAACGGTAATTACCAATTACTGAAATGAGGACCCGGTGAAGCAGAAAAGCCAAGACAACCAAGAACAAAGCCTGTACCCCAGAAGGTAGCACCGTGCCCAGAACCCCTTTCGAAGAGAAAAACATAAACTAACATAGAAGCACCGTTACCTAAGGTCCCTAAAACCCGCCAAAACCCAGACGTTTGCCTCTTTCCACGGTTTTCTGTACAAGCTGCGCTGTCGAAGAGCTTTGGCCACCATTGTCAGTTGATTTCATATTGGGCCATATTTAATTACTACTCCTTCCATGATCTTTTATAAGGCGCATGCACGCATAAAGATTCAAATTTTAAAAACTTTGTCTGATAATTTAGCTAATAATTTTTAATTATTATAATACAAACTTGACACAGGTTAGATGTGTAATCAATATACTATTCATTTTTCTTAAGTTTATAACCATAAATAGTTAGTATAAAATAAATAAATGATCAAAGTATGATTCAGGAGGCCGTGTCATATTAAGTCACGTCTTATAAAAGATTACGAAGGTAGTAGTGTAAACATCTATTTGGATTAGCTAAGACTAGTTACTAGTTGGGACTGAAAATTAATCCAAATTAGTTCGGGTGTTGATAAGCTAATCGGTTAATAACTAGTTGGAGGCTTGGACAAAAAATTAGCTCACCTATTAGTTTTCTTGTTTAGATCGGCTAAGGCTAATTTTGGCTATTTTTTATTTGCTAATAATTGTCCTTATATCAAACGGTCTAAATGAAGGAAGTATCTATCCACGAAAAAGATAGTATACACGGTTTTTTTCTCAAAAGGAGAAAATAGAAACAAGTACCCTAAAAACCACACAACTAGATGGGGTGCGTCTACACTCTACACCACCCTCATAAGTTTCGTACAACAACTTATCATCTAATCACTCAATTTTACTACTCGCTTAAAAATTAAGCCAATTTGGTTGAACATAACCCAACTAACAAATCAACTGACAACTGGATTGAAACCATTCACTCATGGTTTTTAGCGAGAAAAACCGACGAAAACTCCAACCACAACCACTAGCACGTCTAATAAACGAGTAAACAACTCGACAATAGCATGACTCCGAAGGTGTCACTTCTTCTTGCTGGTCTGTTTGCCCAGTTCAACCAGCACCTTGAGAAGTTGAGAGCATCCATCTCCGCCATGGATTTCTGCGCATGCTGTCAGGAGGAACATGTTGTGGAAAGTGATCACCCACAATTGGCCAAAATGGGAAGTCGAGAACACGCTTGGTCAAAGTGTGAATGGGTTTAAAAAAAAAGAAAAGAAAATAAAACGGGTAAAGAAACAACAATTGGCCAAAATGGGAAGTCGAGAACACGCTTGGTCAAAGCGTGAATGGGTTTTAAATTAAAAAAAAAAAAAAAGAAAATAAAACGGGTAAAAAACAAAAATTGGGGTGAGCGTGGATCGAACACGCGACGTTCAGATCTTCAGCCTGACGCTCTCCCAACTGAGCTATCCCCACTTTTGTCTTATGGTAAAACTTAGTTTTATATACCTAGTTATCTGAAGTTGAAGCTAGTTCTGTGACTTCACACGGTTGCCTTACTAAGAATATTATATCTATAGATATCTTGTGAAACTCTGTCCCCCATCACTCGTCTTCTGTTCCTTAGTCCATCGTCTCTCACTCTATCGTTCTTGATTTGAGTTTAGAGCTATAAAATCTTCCTCAGCGTGATACCACTCATCTTATGGACCGAATGTCTAAGCCCTTTCGCGTTGGCACACATGTGGGTGAGTGGATCGCCTTTCACCTTTTTTAAACTTATGATTTATACGCATCCATTTAAGCTGAGTCAATTTCCTATACTAGATTAATCTTTTATTATACTAACATTTGTTATAGACTTTAGAATTTATTTAATTTAAGGTTGGACCAAACCTGATTAAATCTAACAAAACCAACTAGCTTATTGTTATTGGCACGAGTACCACACAACAAATTGCACGTGTCACATGTTTGCTACTAATGATAAAAGGCCGTAGACAGTTCTAGCAATGCTGAAATGATAATCCTCCTATCGAAGCTTTTCTTTTCCAAAAGGAGAAATGAGTGAGAGATAGATATTAAGAGCAGCTTTAGGAATTTCCTAAATGAACTTTCTATTTGGATTTTTGGCAAAAAGTAAAAAAAAATCCTTCCAACAGTTTGGTAAAACAACTCCTTAAAAATAAGAGCTTGGTAAATCTCCCCTCCAACTTGTAAATTTCCGCAGCCAATATAGGAACCCTGTATTCGCTCCCCGTCTGATGTTCTTCTCGAGAGACCAGAGTAAATTGGACGCATAAGTAAATTAAGAAAATAAAGTGTTTCGTGTGACAAAGCAATAATAGACAAAGGAACTATTATAAAAAAGTTTGGTTGGTTAGAAATACTTAAGGGTTTCCAATCATTTAGGAAGCTAATATAGAAAGCTATTAGAGAGAAAAATACATTAGGTTGCTATTTATTTTATTAACTGTCTCAATTTATTAATTTATTAGCAAGTTAATTATAGGAAACATTTGGAGTTGTTCTTACACCGTCTAAATGGAGCCGTCTTATTGTACATAGCAAAAACCCTTTGTTTATCTACCAAATTGATATGCTACGATTCCCCTAAAAAAATGATATGCATGCTACCATTCCCCCTCCCCCCCAAATTACCAATCATCAATAATGTAAGATTAGCCACAACGTGGTGTGCAACTGATGTTTGAATGAAGAGAGAGATCTCCAGGCATCGAAGCGTACCACTGCAGGAGGCGATGCTGGAATCAAAAACATCCTACTCGAGTCATGTACATGCATCAACGCTCAATGAATAAATTACTATTTTTTTCTCAGGTGAAGGTGAGAGATATCAAAGAATCTTGTACTGCTGAGTTGATCCCACAAGAATTCAGCACCTGGCCCTGTTCGGTTTACCTAGAAGCCGGCTTGTTCGGCTTCTTTTTTCAGCCGGAACAATGTTTTTCTCTCACAACAATTCAGCTAGAACAGTGTTTTTCAGTTTCAGCTAAAATTCAACAAGCCGAACGGGGCCATTTGGCATGGACATGATGATTTTCAGCATCGCCTACGCTGTGGCCAGTCTAACCTGGCTGTGTTCACAAACCTAACTGCTTAGCTACTGCGTCTCTTAGCATGTCTTTTGATCAAAGGAAAAAGAAGAGAGAAAAAGAGCAAAGGTATAGCGAAGGCGCGGCTTTGCTCACCAAGTGCTCCCTCCAGTTTAGGACTTTAGGCGTGGAAAAAGGACTGATTAATCGGTGTTCGTCACCCACTAATAATTTGATAATGAACAGACTGATTGGAATCTACTGTTGGACACGTACTACTGATGAAATGAACGTAGACGTGGCAGAACCAGTGCGGCAAGTCCCCAAAACCCCACGATTGACAGTTGGCCCCTGAGAGGCTGACTTTAGCTTGCCTCGTGTCGTGTCGTGTCGTGCTGGGCCATGGGCATAGGCTGACACTGACAGACACATCAGCTGGTCTCCTTCGAAGGCTGGAGTTGGGTGCAGGGCTGTGTTCGACGGTACGTGGTGAACTGCGAACAAAGTGCAAGGCAGCTCCACCTCCAAGCGTACATGATCAACGACGACGACATAGGAGCGTGCCAGCTGTTGGGGCTTCTCGTTCTCTGTGGCATGGTGACACGTGGCGCGAGCTTGATGCAGGTTTGCATTGGAGGAGTTTGCGTGCTTCCAAACCAGCGAGGGCGTGGTTCGATTCAAATTGCACGTGCGGGGTTTTGAACTGTGGATCGAATGACGTGAAGAAGCTTCAAGGGCTGAACTGGAAGGAAGTATAGATGGTAGATATCTTGCAACTGGAGTAATCTGGTTGGTCGTGCTGCAGGAGGCTACAGTGTAGGACGTCAGGTGTAGCATTGATGTGAAAATGGAAGAGCAAGCTAAGTGGCAATTTCTATGTGACTCAGATAGCGGTTGTGAGGTTCTCAGTGTCAGTTGTACAATCGGTTCGAGTATGGTATTGGATTCAGTTAGGCTATCTCCAACAAAGCAACCAAAACCCAAAATGCAGCGTGTGTGTATTTAGATAACCA